GATTTTCAAAAGTTTTGTGTCTTTTGTACTTATTTGGGTCCGACTTATTTTCTTTTTATGATTTTTGTTTCCCATATGTGCTGGTCTGCAGATTTAGTGATTAAGTCATTAAACTTTTCTATTATAATCCTTTTTTTTTGGGTTAAATCAATGTTGGTAATGTTGTCATCTATATATTGCAAGTAATTACTCCAGTTGTCCATTTCTTGAGTCTGAAATGATAATGGGGAAATGATCGCTACTATACAGGTCTTCAGTAGTGGTTCAATTCAGGTGTGTTAGGAGGTTGGGTGAGCTTGTGCTGGAGTCGATGTTAGATAACCTCCATGAGGCAGCATTAAACCATATGTTGCTTCCATGATTAAGTAAGGCTAGGATATTTGTATCAAGAGCTTCCTTGTTTATTTTCCCTCGAGAACTATTTTTCTAGGCCTAACTATTTGTTCTAATAGAGCCTGGAATTCGTCAGGTTCTAAATAGTGGTCTGGTGGAATGTACATGTGTAAATGTTGCAAATATTGATTGCTTCTTTAAGGTCTATGGATATAGCGACAGCTTCTAAGTTTGTATTTATTGGAATTGATCGGACAGGAATTTCCCTTTTAAATAGTATTGCGACTCCACCCCTAGCTGTAGATAATTGCCTATTTTTAAACGGTCCTGCATAGTTCTTGGGCGAGCGTGATTTTGTGTCGTGACAATGCGTTTCCTGGAGATAAATGACATCTGGTATATGATCCATCCTGTATGTTCCTGTTATTTGTCGGTGGTATGTTTGTTACAGAAGGACAATGTGAAGCTATATTATCAGAAAGTTATAGGTCTAAGTGATTTCAAATAAGTATTTTTTACATATTTTGCTACAAATCTTGAAGTGGGCCAACTGAAGTGGAAAGGGGCTCGTAATAGTATGACTTTCAAGATGAATAACGAAAGAAGTAGCCGCCGCTAATGCAAAAATGTTTGTGGTCAGTACATTGTACGGCTCAAGTTGACTCCTCTTAGGATAAAGTTAGCTACTAACTACTAAAAAAGAAGTCGGTTAAGTAGGTTCATACAATTAGTTCCCAGCTCCCACCCATTTGATAACGTTGCTACCTAGGCATTTCTTTATAGCCCTGATCGACTATCCGGCAAGGACAAATAAATGGGGAAATCTATATGTGAAAAGTGTCTATGAGGCCCAATTTTACTAAGCCGGGCGCAAAAAAGTACCCTGGTTAAAAATTAAAGCAATGAGAACGCATCTTTGAATTAATGGATCTAATGAATATGGTCGATTTCTTGTAAAATGTCTCTCAAACTAGAAATTACTTACACGCCTTGTATAAGATGGGGTCTTAATTCTCATACTAAATCAAGAGATACGTATGAATAACTTGTTTTAGTTACAAAAACCTATTTTTCATTTGCATCCCGACACTAAATTAGCGGCCATGGTGATAAAATGCACCAATCAAAAAGAAGCATTTGCCCCATACTCGAAACGAATACACTTCTGATACCGTATATGACATCAATTAAACGATCATTTCATTGAAAACAACAGTGTCTCACTCGTGCTGTAGAAAATTCAGCTTGATAAATTCTGTTCCTTCAGCCAGTCCTGAATCAATAAAAGTGTCGTTACTATCTGTCTTGCTATCATGACGCAGATTTTTCTGATTTTTTTAAGCCTATTATCTGAAAAGTACCAGATGAAGTCGACTTCTGGAACACCCTGTATGAAGTATTTCTTGACGTAGATTTTTCTGATTTTTTCAAACCAAATATTTGAAAAGTACTGGCTTGGCGTCGACTTCTGGAACACCCCGTATGAAGCACTTCTTGACTTACTAGGAGAATAAGGAGCCTGCCTTGACAAGTCGCATGATATTTCTCTTGCTTGAGATATATTTTACAAGAAATACACCACACTCATTAGTTCAAAGACGCCTTTCCTTGGGTCTAGTTTGTGCCTAAGGCGCGGGTCAGTAGTAAAATCGGGACTTAGGTGCGCAAAATGGCTCATGTAATTAGTCCTCACCCTGTTCACAATGTTGAGATTTAGAAATGTAGAATTGTCTTCTACTAGCGGCTCGCCCCGGCTTTGCACCCGTAACTACCGAATCATGTTTTTGAGTAGCACATCCGCACGGGTATATAGGTTTTTTGTGACATTACGTAGGTTTTTCTGCAAGAAGTCAACTTAGCACTAGTTGTGCTACACTTATTATGTACTCGTTTTGTACCTGTACGTGTTGTCTAAACGTCATGATGCTTCAGCTATCAATGTTTGCCTCTTATGTGATGTCACATCTGCTGCAGAGATGGCATTATTGGAGGTTTAAGCTATAAGTTGTATATTATATCTGGCAGGAAACGGTAGTGCATATGTGCATAGTGAAAATTTGTGTGGTAATAATGTGTGTTGATGATACTCGTAATTCCATTGGTTCCTTGTCTCAAATACACTTACTTGGGAAATATGCAAAGCTAAAAATTAGTTGTGCATCCGCTTTTTCTTATTCAACCTGGAAATTGCATATGCAAACTTGCTGAATTTACATACAGATATATCTATGAAACCTAAAAAAGTTATTACATTTCACATCAATTTTTATTTCAAGTTATACATATTTTATATATTTTTTTATTTTACGATGTCAAGTAGAAAATACAAATCAGCGCATAGATGTGAGGCAGTGCGAAAATGTTTTGTGATGTGTCGTTCCTAATTCTTCTGTGGTGTGGCTTAATTACAAACAACGCAATTAAAGTTCTTGAAAACGCAAAAAAACGGGGAAGATTGTAATGTAAGTTTAATATAACCTGTCTTCAGAAAGGACAACATATCAATAACCCGTCAGGCACAACTAATAGATATTCTTCATTGGCTGCACATTCAGTAATCATTTTCCCACATATTTATATTTTTTATACACATGCAGACCAATACACATAATGACCCAGATCCGATCTACTCAAATAACTTTCTTGCTTCCTCTCAGAGATAAGCACTACAGACTACTCGGCTTTCCGCAACCAACAATGCATGCCGTGTCGTTGAGTCATTCCTCTGTAGACGGACGGTTTTGATGGCGCTCACAGCGATCATAGGGATTAAATATTTACACACTCCGTGTCCGCAAGACGAAGTTTGGTAGGTTTTTATGACATTTTTTAGGTTTTCCACATAATACTCCTGCCGGATTAGACAAGACTTCTTGAATTATCTTTTGCGTATTTTATTTCCGATCTTAGGAATATTCAAAGAAAATAAAGATTACCATAGATATACATATAAACGAGTATAATCATTTGTTTATAACATGATGTAGGCTTTCCTATAAAATCTCACCTTCAAAATAGTTGACATTTAATGACTTTTTGACATTCTATAGATTTTTTACGTAGTAAGCCTGAAAATCTACCGCGCAATAAATAAGCTGTATACTGTAACCACTAGGCTACTAACGAGTTGCTTATCTTTTGCCCAAACATTGCATATAATCGAGTGCTTACCTATACGTGATTGACTAATTTGAATGAATCGGTGATTGTGACATAAGTACTTCATTGTATGTAAGTTTTGCAGCGTATTACAAATAATGACATGGGCAAATTTTTGATACCTTAGGTTACAATTCCGTCATGCTTCAGTCAATTTACGTTCATCTTTAAAAAATTATGCACCTAAACACTCCTCATGAATCTTTCTGGTAGAACCCATATAAAAATCTACTCGGTAGTTTTTGAGTTTATCGCGTTCAGACAGACACGTTGGGGAACTTTATATTGTAATGAGCGGGCGAAGTTGAAATATTTCATTTTAAGTAAAAGTTGCAAATGTGAGAGAAAATCTATGCGTTAAATACATATGTCTAACAATTGCATAGAATTAGCGGGGGTAGAAGCATCAAATTGAGATCAACCATCACCCACCCCCTTAAACCTCAACCACCAAATATTTGACCCCAACAATAATTTTTCTGAAAGCGATCATGTGACGTCAAAAACCGAAGTGCGATTTTTTTTTGGCTTGTAGCTCCACCAGCTCTGGACCGATTTCCAAAAGCTATAGAACTTTTTGTGTAAAAATTTCTCAATATCCAACCAGTACTTTTCAAGTTACAGACGGGCTACGGATTAACGGATAACAACCAAACAGTTTTATCGGGCTACAAATACACCTATTAATGCGAAACCAAAATTTGGATTGTCGATTAAATGACAAAGGACTATGTGTGTGGAAGTCGTTGAAAGCTAAAAACGTGTAAGCCCCTGATAAAATTTGTAAATTACATTTAAAAAGATAAGTTTCCGGATGTCACTCAAAATTTATTTTCTCTACTCTAATTTCCATTCCTTTCCTTTAACTCTTGGAACTGTAAGTGTTGAGCAGGGAGAGCTGTTTCATCAGGATATAAAAAAGCCTGAAGAATTATCTCAGGTTCGTTGGGAGGTAGATATGTTGGGAGATTACTGTTGGTGTTTGAAGCCAGAACTTACTACTCGACATGAAAGGGGAGGTCAAACATCTTTCCTTTTATACAATATACGTAAAATTTTTACTACGTATTTATAGTTGAGTGTGAAATATAATAATAGTAAGTCTTGCTGTCGCTTCTACTCGAATTAAGAAATATACTGGACATTTACGTTTCATTTATTTTACCGATAATTGTTGGTTACCATTATCTAAAACACATAACGCGACAGGAAAAATACGTATGTTTATGAATAAAGAAATAGAAGACATTTAAGTGGGTACTTAATTTTACTTAGATCTCTGAAAGCAATGGTATTTGAAGTATCCTTTAAGTGCGGCTCAAGATAATTATAGATTCGATTGTGTATAAAAGTTGCGTCAATATAATTAAGACAAACAAAAAAAACTTTCTCAAATGGTATGCTGACTTGGTATGCTTCGAGAAATATCAAGTAGCAAATTATTTTTTTTCGGACAAATCAATTTTCCCGACAAAACAAAAGTACAGAAAAACAATTTCACTACTTACGATCGGCATCAATGTGTGTCATTTTTACCGCGCTTGAAATACAAAGTAACCAGCCTTGAGATGAGGAGAATATTGATATACATACATATAAATATAAACGAAAAGAGATTTATGATAAGATAATGGACCGCCACAAAATCAGATTCAGTCAACAAGCTACCGACAAGTGTTTCCCAAGTTATTATCCAGAATTTTAGTTTGCCTGATATTTTGAGTACAGTCTATACTACCTGTTCCAGATTTACCGATATTAAATCTTTCCATACAAGTATTTCGCATCATTCAGTATTTAAATGGACATAGTGAAGTGGTAGGTAGTATAGAACCAGACCTTTACATATTTGAATATAAATTCAGTTATTATTATTCGGATATGGTGATTTATCTAAACATGCCAAATCTTTAATATCACATATCACGGGCACTATTGAACCGATTCTGTTGAATTATTTTACGATAACAACATTAAGAGTAATGTAAAACTAGATAGACGATTGAAGAATTCAGGGCCGGACTCGATTTTTCCACTTTTTGTTTTTATATCAGAATTATCCAAAAAAGTAAATATGGTGCATTGATTCGCCTTTTATTTGTATCATTTATTGACATTTTTTTCTACGAAATAATAATAAACTCATAGTATAACTTACGGGGGTTGCACTCAATAAAATAAAAAGGAATAAAGAAACCTGAATCCTGCCCTGGTATTTTGAGATACCAAAACATCTTATGACCAATTCTAAACACTATTTTGTAAAATGCTGATGGAAAGAAATTGGTAGCGCTTTCAATTTTGAGTTCTGGGTCACATAGACTGATAAAAATAAGATATTTAAATAAAGACCTTTTACTAAAAAACAAAAGAGGAGCAGTCAATCTGTTTTGCTATTTAATCAGCACCACATATAACCTTTTCCAGTCAAACATTTGATTCACCGATTTAAAAGGTGTTGATTTTGATGGCATTTGAAAAATGGCAGAGCAGAAAAGAACATACGTTCAGCACAAACTTTGAAAAAATGTCAGTCAAACAGGTTCATACAATTAGTCCATAGAAAATATTATTTCTCTGCTCTAACGGTGGACCACCTGGAAACATCGTCTCTCCCCGATACCTAGCTGGGGCACGACGCGACGCCAGCAGCAGCAGCAGCAGCAGCAGCAGCAGCAGCCGCAGCCGATTGCTACGTGATTCGTCTGCTGAGAATGTTTTTTGTTTGAGTTTTCAGGGCTAATGTACACAGAAATGAATGGTGTGTGGAATATGTCTAATGAGTACGTAGAATTACCAATTTTGGGATCTTATAAATGTACCAGCATCAAAAACTGAGACTAACCCCCACCCACACGGTTTTTTAGAAGTCTTTTAATTTTCAGGTCCAACCTGCCTACCATTTAACTATGTCCACTTAAGCGCGGGACATCCTGCGTAATACCGAAATTGAAGGGCTTATGCAGAATATACCATTGGGGATCGAATACAAAGCCGATAGCTCATATGGTACGGCCATGAGATGTTAATAAATAATAAAATATGACCGAGAAAAATGCTATCTTACATCCCAATCAACAGAAAAAAGCAAGGCAGGTCAAAATAACGGACAAAATAAGTGAGGAGTACATACATAAAATGGAAATTACTGAATTTCCTCTCAACAGCATGTAGTCTTCAGACATTCAGTTTGGGACGTTTTATCCATTCAGTCTATTTTTACCTTTCTGCAAGGGTCGCTGTTGCAATCTATGGAATGGGACGGATTCTTTGAACTGTCTTTGAGAAGTAGAGGTGTCCTGGAAATTAGTTCGCTATATTTAATATGATGACCTACCTTCCGTAATTAGAAGAAGCAACTTTCATATTTTACGAGAAAAATGTTCTTCACAGTATATAACAACACGTATATTCAATTGTCATACTTTTTGCTCATCATGAAACTGTTAGAGGTATCCTAAATAACAATTCGAATAATTGTCAAAACTCTGATGTACGTACTCCATAACTCCTGGCAACCTATTTTGCTAATTCAAGGAGCAGATTATGGCTTAGTTTTATAGAGCACAATACGTAAAGAGCTTAAGAAATTCAAGTAGCTTACCTAATAGTATGCACTTAGAGGGAGTTAGAATGCAAGATGGGAAGACAATAAGTAATTTGTTTGCAAAGCACTTTAGTGGTGTATATGATAGTTCTGTACATCCTTTACCCTCTTTTTTATTTGAGAAGACAGGAGATATACTACTAAACAAAATTTCTCTTGAGGAAGTATTCAATAAAATCGTAAGTCTCCCAATGAAGTTCAGCTGGGGTCCTGACCAAATTCCAGAGGTTTTTCTCAAAGAATGTATCTTTACACTTACTAAACCTTTGCATCTTATTTTTAACATGTCCATCCAAACAGGTGGTTTTCCTGACACTTGGAAGCACAGTTATATTCAGCCAAGTGTTAGGTCAGGAGATGTTGAAGATATTAGCAATTACAGAGGTGTATGTACCCAATCATCAATTCCGAAACGTTTTGATAGCTTGATATATGATCAACTTAACTGGTATTGCCGTGGGCTTGTAAGTAGCTGTCAATTTGGGTTTACTAAGGGTAGATCAACTGTGGAGAACTTGGTGTCTTATAAAGTTGATCTATTGGAGACCTCGGCAAAGGGTCACCAGGTGGATGCAATCTACACAGACTTTTCCAAAGCCTTCGACAGAGTGAACTTCGACATTCTATTGGCAAAGCTGTCAGCTTATGGTTTTTCAGAAAACACTATAAGATGGTTGGAGAGCTTCCTTAAGGGTAGGACTCAATCTGTTAAAATTAGTGGACAACTGGGGTTCCTCAGGGGTCCCATTGTGCTCCTCTTCTCTTCATTTTGTTTGTGAATAACATCCCTGATGTTCTTATTCATTCCAAAGGAACTATGTTTGCTGATGACCTGAAAACTTACAGGAGAATAACAGAGAAAGATGACATGGTGGACCTTCAGTGGGACCTTGATGCGCTGTGGTAGTGGACACAGCTTAATCACTTGTATCAGAACTCTTATAAATGCTTTTTCATATGTTTTTTCAAAAGTAGGAGTAGAATTTCAACTGGCTATAGATTAAATAATGATACTCTCTCTTATGAGGCTACCGCAAGGAATCTTTTAGTGCTGATGAAAGGCTTAACTTTTCAGATCATGTTCTTAAAGTTAGTATAAAGGGCATACAGATGCTGGGCTTTGTTTGGAGAAACTGTAAGTGTTTTTTAATCAATACCTTCCGAATTTTATACTGCTCCTTGGTAAGATCAAATTTAGAATATGCCACAGTAGTATGGTCCCCTCATTAAAGATGATTTAGAGCGTGTCCAGGTTAAATTCTCACGTCTTGCAGCATTAAAGAGGAACTTAAACACATGACGGAATATCATAGAGCTGACATGTTAGAACATTTGCGTTTACCTACATTGGAGCATAGACGCTTGGTCTTTGATGGTTGTTTCGCTTTCAAGATTTTATTGGGGATCACCGATTGCGAAACTTTGTTAACATTAATCAATCTTAATGTACCCTGTAGAACATTGCGTAATAATAATCTGCTTGCGATATATAGTTGCTGCCGTCTTACCACATTGTTCAACGTTTTCTACCTACGCAAAAATTTCGTACACTGCCAGAACAACGCAACAGATTATTTTGAAATTTGTTGTGCTAAATGTTTTGTCGATAAGTGAGGTGATACTGTGAGGGTAAGCCAAAAAGTTCATCAATAATATAGTTACAATTACTGCCAGCACATATACAACAAAACGTAAACACTAGACTAGTAAAAAGTGAATTTGCGTTTAACCACAGACATCCGAGCGCTATAACTAGACTCCCAAAAAATGAACAATGAAGAATTTTTGGAAAGGCTGATGGAAATTACGGAAGAGAGCAGTAGAAGGGTAATCGAAGAAGCAAATTCAAAACAGTCTACTGAAATCAAAGAATACATAAAAAGCGAGATTGACTCACTTTCGGTACAACTAAACGATAAACTTAATCAGAAAATTTCTGAAATTGAAGAGAAGTATAATGAACTGAAAGTCCAGTATGAAAAACTGCAAAAAGAGCTTAAAAAGAACAACTTGATAGTGTTTGGTTTGAATGCTCCAAGTGATTGTAACTTGATTAGCTTTGTTATTGGCAAAATCAACAGCCTACTCGAGCTATCGTTGGTTACCAGCGATATCAACGATGTTTATACCATAGGGAAGCAAACCAGTAACAAACCCATAATCCTGAAACTTGTGTCATACCTAAAGAAAAAAGAAATCCTTAGGAACTGCAAAAAATTAAAAGGTACAAACATCGCTATTGGTGTTGAACTCACTCCTGAAGAGCAAAAGGAACAAACAATTTTGCGTCAGCAACTCAAGAAAGCAAGGAAACAAAATCAAAATGCATTTATAAAAAACAGAAAGCTAGTCGTGAATGGTAGAGAATTTACAGCCCACGAACTGATTGCTGATGAAAAAAGTTCAGACGAGGAAGAAGAAATTGAAACAGGTCTTCACTGTAGGTCAGAAAGCTGGTGCAGATGTTAATACACAACATGAAGTTGCAGAAATAGTTAAGAGTACAAGCAAAAGGAAGATAACTCAAAGTGCAGAGCCAGCCGCTAAGCAGTTAAGACCTAGGATCAACAGTAATCCTACATCGAGCAAAAATAAAGACTCCAAACAAAACTGAGAGAGTGTATGGATAAAATCGAATCGAGTGTTTTTGGTGGTGCTGTGTGGATTTTTTTTAATCTCCTATAATATTTATCATTTCCTTGTACGCCATATTACTTTTTAACTCTTTTTAGTACATTATATTGTGTTATTTCGAAATTGTTCAACGTAATGTCTCTCATCTTTTGTCATCTATTTTAAAGATGCATTTTTTAACAAGTATGATATCATAACACTATCGGAAACCTGGTTAAATATCAACATTCCTGATGATATCATCAGTCTCGAAGGGTATACACTGTATAGAGGTGATCGTCACCACAGGAGAGGTGGAGGTATAGCTTTATATGTCAAAAATCACCTTAAAAGCAAAGTTATAAATAATATTGAGTATCATGATACTGAGCAACTATGGATCACCGTAAGCTTTAACCAGAAAAATTTTGCTGTAGGATCTTTATACCGACCCCCAGATTACCCCGTGAACCAATTTATAGATAATTTGGAAGTAACGTTGTCCACACTTGCTCCTAATCATGATTATATCTTATGTGCAGGAGACCTAAACATCGACCTTTTGGATGACAATTTTTGTAGTAGACAGCTACTAAACCTGGTAGACGTTATGAATTTGAAGCAGATAGTTGAACAACCCACTAGATGTACACCTAAGTCCTCACAGTTGCTAGATGTTATTATCTGCACAGATGAACTAAACATCTCGGCTATCGATGCATTAGACTGCTCTATGATATCTGATCATGCCCTAGTTTCATGTGAGGTTACACTTTCAAAGAATACTTTTGTACCTTTTCTTTACACATATAGAGACTTTAAACATTTTAATTATGAGCTTTTTACAAATCACCTGAATAATGTTGACATGAGTCCAATATATCTGCTTAAGGATATAGATATGAAAGTGAATTATCTGAATGAACTACTGTTAAATATTTTCGATTTCCATGCTCCTATCAGAACAGTCCGCATATCTAGAAAAAGGTCACCTTGGCTTACCTATAATTTGAAACAAATGATGAAACTAAGAGATAAGGCACTAAGAAAGTATCATCGTACAAAGAATCACAATGATTGGTTAGGCTATAATACACTAAAGAACAAAATTAACCACGCGATTAACAAAGAAAAGCAAGTATATTTTGAGCAACAAGTTGCATTAAATAAAAACCGCATGTGGAAAGAACTCGGAAAATTGAATATAGTTAATAAAAAACAGAATTCACTACCTCAACACCTAGGAACTGCAAACCAAATCAATAACTTCTTCATGCAATCCATCTCGGGTGACAATAATGAACCTGATCAGTACACTCTTCGATTCTTCTCCGATACGCAACTCCCTCATGAAGCATTTGAGTTTTCGTACACTAATGACAATGAAGTATATCAAAAATTGCTTTCAGTAAAATCAACAGCCGTTGGTGCCGACGGTATAAGTATCAGCATGCTGCTGTACGGCTGTCCTACAATTTTACCATATCTCACGCATATTTTTAATTATTGTCTAAAATTCAATGTAATACCCAAAATTTGGAAGCTTGCACAAGTAATTCCCATACCAAAAAAGAGCAACCCTGAAGATGTGGGCGACCTTCGACCCATCAGCATCCTATGTACTCCATCAAAGGTCTTCGAAATGATTTTGGATGCTAGAATGAGGGACTTTGTTGCTAAAAATGACATTCTTCCAGAAAACCAATCAGGGTTCAGATCAGGTCTCAGCTGCACAAAGTAACAGATGATATTCGCAAATACATTGATGATGGCAACGTATGCATCTTAATCTTATTAGATTTTTCGAAGGCTTTTGATAAGCTAAGCCATGATCTACTGATTGCTGTTCTTCACTACTTGGGTTTTTCTAAAAGTGCTATTAAGAAATTACCTCAAAGATCGGGCACAAGTTGTCAAATGCTTTGGTGAAACATCCTAATTGTCTAAAGTTTGTCGAGGTGTACCTCAAGGATCTGTTGTAGGTCCACTCTTGTACACTCTGTATACCTCTCAGCTGCACAAAAGTTTTAAACACGTCTCATATCACTATTACGCCGATGACACTCAATTATATATTGCTTTTAATGAATCAGATATAAACCGAACTTTAAGTAACATAAAAGAGGACCTTCAGGTTCTTTATCAGCTAACAAAAAAATATTGTCTCTCCGTCAACGCCACTAAATCTAAGGCTCTACTATTTGGTAAAAACAAGAATCGTGAACTATACTCCAATAATTTAGACATTTATTTCGGACAAGACAAAATAACTTTTACAAACTCCGCTAAAAATTTAGGGGTTATTATGGATACAGATCTACGCTTTTCCCAGCATGTCTCTCTTATAACCAAAAGGGCATTTTCATCATTGAAACTGCTATACAATAGCAGAAGCATCATAACCAAGACAACAAAAATAATATTGTGCGAGTCTTTAGTTCTTTCTCACCTCAGCTATGCAGACTGCGCGTACGGCCCGTCATTGCTACATCGAGATAAGGCGCGCCTTCAGCGTATTCAAAATTCTTGTGTCAGGTTTGTTAGTGGTATTAGAAGGCGGCAGCCGATATCTCTTCACTTAAAGAACTTAGGTTGGCTCAATATAGAGAAAAGAAGGTTCCTTCATCGATCCGTACTATACCACAAGATACTCAATACTGAATCACCATCCTATCTTTACAAGAAGATCAAGACCCGCACAGAAGTGCATAGTCGTAACACGAGGTTTAAACATCATCTCTCACTACCTAAATTTAAAACTTCAAATTATAAGTGCTCTTTTTCATATGACTGTTAAGGTTTACAACTCGCTGCCTGATAGAATTAAAGCCCTATCAATTTTGAGATTTAAGCGAGAAGTGAAGACTATGTTGAGACTTGAGATGACTTAAATTTAACACTGCACGCTGATTTGCCAATTATTCTTCTGTATGTCTTTTTCGTACTATTTGTCTGGGCGGTCCGTAGGACCTTTGCCCATTACTCACTGTCTGATGTACGTTATTCGAATCTGTCAGTCCTGGTTGCCCAGAAACCAGACAAAGTCAAGGAGTCTTTTTCGTTTGATCTCAGACATTTTCCCTTCATAAGATATTAGCTACAACTTCTAGCAATCTCATTCAAGCATCAACTCGTTTTATATTATAGGTTTTACCAAGGTGCCTGCAACAGTTATATGTCATCTATGGATGTATAATATAATATATAGTTTTAAAACATATGTCTATATGTATCTGTGTTAACGTTTAAATTTTCTCTTGCTGTTATCATTATTACTGATATACTACTTTTTTTTTTTTGGTTAGGTGGAAGAGCGCGGATTGACAACTAATGCTTGTCAATCAAGCGAACCTTGCCGTTTGCTCACTGCATCAGATTTATGTACTTTTTCTTTTTCTGTACTTACATGAGCAATAAAAGCAATTTATTATTATTATTAAGTTCCATCCCGCAACCTATGGTCAGCACTCCCCACTCGATAGAGCATTTCGTGTTATCAATTTAGCTCAGTCTAATATTGACATTTTTACCTGTACAGTCTCAGGCTTTATAAATTGTCTTTTAAATTGTGATTTTTATAATTCTGTCTTGTGAGCTTCCATGTTGTAAATGTTGTTCCCATTTCGTGATTGTATTTTGTAAAAGTGGGGTCACCCGTAAATTTGTAAATAAAAAATTAAAATAAACTATACGCAAATATCGTAGTCATCTTTAAATATGCAAAAAACACATACATTTATGCACGTACGTACTTAAAAAAATCAGCCTCCTAAACTTCTCTTCACTATGACCTAAAGTCATTGTAAGACATTGAAAATCATAGATTGAAATTAATTCGAACAAATAACCACTCGGAATGATATGAATGAAAGTCACACGGAAGCTCCGAAACATGTAAATACGATGCCTGGAAACGATCTGAAGATTTCTCATATTTTGTCCATGACTTCGCCATCACTCGGAAGTGAATCCACAGCAGGTCGCAGTCCAAATTCTGTCAAAACCGATGAAGCCGTTTCAGAGATTAAAAGGAAAATACAACCAGTCAGACCGACGATTTCGAATAGATTAGAAGGAGCCGATATGTTTACACTGCATTGTTTGCCGCCCAAATTCTTGTTGCATACTTTTGACTCATTTGACTACGATTGCTCACAAAAGTGGTAACATTGTGTCAATATAATAATAATACTTATCAGTGGAAAGATCTATCTTCATTAGAATTATGCGTGTCTTTGCACATTATTCAAGTATCATGTTTGGAAATCGTCAACAGTACAATTATCTGCGATGCGACTGTTTTATGTGTTTCACCAAGATTTTCCACCACAAAATTGAATAACTGACTCACGTTGGTATTTTTTAACAAAGCATTCATTCTGAATAATAGCACCTAAAGCGCGGCCATATGCGGAATGCTCTAAATTTTTTAGACAGTATATTTATAAGCTCCCACCTTGGGGATTCTACGCACCTATTAAACATACTTCATACATCACATATTTTCCCGTACATTTGCTCCTCAAGCTTAGGCTTATAGAGAAATATTTGCAATACAAGCTATGAAATAAAAAATACACATGCATCGAGAGCTGATTAATGTCTGACCGACCGGTGGCTGGCTAGTGGCGAGGATAGTCATAGAAACATTGCCATATGAAATTTCTAGATCGCAACGCTGTCAAATGGATGAGGACTATGGACTAATTATATGGACCTATTTTTGACTTGATCCATTGTTTTTTTTTGTTAATACATGTTCGTAGCTGACGTTTTTCTCAGAGGTGCTAACTCGTGACGAATACAATCCTTTAATCAAATATAAGCGCAGTATTTGATGCCATGTTATTCCTTAA